GTCCTACAGGGTTGCTACGAGTTAGAATGGACTGGACAGTGGTGGGTTTAATACAGCATCTAGCACTGAGAGCTCCCAATCTCAGTCACCTGAGAAACCTGGACCTTCTCAGCTGCCGCTCTCTTCTGAACAGGAGTCTAGAGATAAAGCTAATTATGTTCACATGCTGACACCCATGCTGTCAGCATATGCAAATTAAGCTTATCTAGCTCTTCCCAACCTCTTTCCAAAAATGGAAGGTTACATCAGTCCCCTGCTGAAAACCTTTCAGCAGTCCCATGGTCCCAAATCCAAATGTGCATATTGACAGAAATCTTCCTTAAAATCCCGGGAAGAGGGTCTACTCAACTTTATAAAAATGAAGATACAGTAAAACCTACGAAAGCCAGAACCTGTGTTAGGTAAAAACCTGTCAGAGTAGAAAAACTCAAATATTTTCTACTAAAACAAGCAATAGAAAAGTGGTAACACTACACCTTGTTAAAGACAAAAACTTGCCAGACCCAGAAAAACAAGGCAGAAGCATTGCATTCCGGCTCTCACAGGTTTCAGCGTAATATTAAAAATCCCTAGGAATTATCTATTTGGTGACAAAGCTCCCAGATATTACATTACAGGTAGTTAATTCTGTTTGTCTCCCCCAATGGAATATAAACTCCATGAAGATAGAAACTCTAAAAACAATGCCTGGCACACAGCAGAGGTTCAATACAACTACTGGAAAAATGAAAATTTTGGGTACTACTCCTCCAAACCAAAACCAAACCCATGCCTACTGACTGAAAATTCTACCAATGTTCTTAATTTATCAATCAGAAACAAAGGGTAGGAAAAGTTCATAATATATTGGTTCAAAAGTTTTTCCATTTCAAAAATTCTCCATAACAATTTGGCAGTTTCCCAAAAAGTTAAACACAGAATTAACATATAATCCAGCGACTCCACTCCAAGATACATACCCAAAGAATTAAAAGCAGGAACACAGATAACCTGTACACAAATGTTCACTGCAGCATTATTCACAATAGCTAAAAAGTGGAAAACAGCCTAAATGTCCATCAACAAATGAATGAATAAAATGTGGTACACACATACAAGGGAATAATACTCAGAGAAATGAAGTCCTAACACATGTACAACATGAATGAACCTAGAAAACACAATGCTGAGTGAAATAAGCCAGTCACAAAAGGACAAATATTGTATGACCCCACTTAAGTGACATAGCTAGAACAGACAAGTATACGGAGACCAAAAATCACAGTGGTTACCAGAGGCAGGGGGAGCGACTCACTGCTTAGGGGACACTAAGCTTCTGTTAAGGGTGATGGAAAAATATGGAAACAGATAATGGTGATGGCTGAACAATATGATAAAAAAAAAAAAAAGTAACGTCATTGAACTGTATGTGAAGAATGCTGAAATGGCAAATTTTTTTTTACATACATATTTACCATAATTTTAAAAAAGTTCTCAACAGTACAAGGAAATAAGGATAATCAAAGGGGAAAAAATGGTCAACTCTATAAGCTATTAATGAAATACACTTTAAAAGAAATAAACCTACAAAAACATCTTTCCTCTAAGCCACACACCCAGGCAAGACTGGAAGCAGGGAGGGGAAAGACTGAGACCTTCCTCGCGGCACGTCATTACTAGTGACCATGGTGGTGCTGTCTTCCTGAAAATTACTCCAGCACGGTTTAACAAGCTCTATAAAACAGTGTGTAGTCTTTAACTACAGAATCTCTCTTAATGAAATATACCCAGAGGAAACAGAGAATCCAAAAGGGTAAAGACGAAACTTATAAAATATGCGCACAGCCTAAAGGTAAAAATAATGAAAAATGGGAAACATTTCAAATGACCAATAGGATGAAGCAATCTATGGAATATCAAAACCTTGAACTATACAGCCATTAAAAATAACTATATGAATTCCACTGACACTTTGTTGTCACTGTTAGGTGCCATCGAGTCTGTTTCAACTTATTGCGACCCTATGTACAACAGAACAAAACAATGTCCGGTCTTGCACCATCCTCACAATTACTGCTATGTTTGACCCCACTGTTGGAGCTACTGTGTCCATCCATCTCATTGAGGGTCTTCCTCTTTTTCCCTGACCCTCTACTTTACCAAGCATGACGTTTTTCTCCAGGGACTGGTCCTTTCTGGTAAGATGTCAAAAGTACTTGCTTCTAAGGAGCGTTCTGGCTGTACTTCTTTCAAGACAGATTTGTTTGTTCTTCTGGCAGCCCATGGTATATTCAGTATTGTTCATCAACACCACAATTCAAATGCATCAATTCTTTGGTTTTCCTTATTCATTGTCCAGCTTTCACAAGCATATGAGGCGAATGAAAATACCATGGCTTGGGTCAGGCACACTTTAGTCCTCAAGGTGACATTAAGGTCTTTTGCAGCAGATTTGCCCAATGCAATACATTGTTTGATTTCTTGACTGCTGCTTCCACGGATGTTGAATGTAGATCCAAGTAAAATGAAATCCTGGGCAACTTCAATATTTTCTCCATTTATCATGAAGTTACTTATTGGTCCAGTTGTGAGGATTTTTGTTTTCTTTATGTTGAGGTGTAATCCATACTGAAGGCTTCAATCTTCATTGGTAAGTGCTTCAAGCCCTCTTCACTTTCGGCAAGCAAGGTTATGTCATCTGCATATCACAGGCTGTTAATGAGTCTTCCTCCAACCCTGATGCCGTGTTCTTCACACAGTCCAGCTTTCTGGTTTTCTGTTTTAGCCAAGATCCCTCTGACATCAGCAATGATATCACTCGTTTCACGTTCCCTTCTGGATCCAGCTTGAATTTCTGGCAGTTCTTCGTCTATGTACTGCTGCAACTGTATCTGAATTTCTTCAGCAAAATTTTACTGGCATGAGATAGTAATGATACTGTTTGACAATTTCTGCATTCTGTTGAATCTCCTTTCTTTGGAATGAGCACAAATATGGATCTCTTCCAGTCGGTGGCCAGATAGCTGTCTTGCAAATTTTTTGACAGAGACTACTGAGCACTTCAGTGCTGTATCCGTTTGTTGAAACATCTCAGTTGGTATTCCGTCAATTCCTGGGGCCTTGTTTCTCACCAATGCCTTCAGTATCTTGGACTTCTTCCTTCAACACCATCAGTTCTTCATCATATGCTACCTCCTGAAGTGGATGAACTGTCGACCAATTCTTTTTGGTACAGTGACTCTGTATTCTTTCCATCTTCTTTGGATGCTTCCTGCATGGTTCAGTATTTTGCCCATAGAATCCTTCAATATTGCAACTCAAGGCTTGAATATTTTTCTTCAGTTCTTTCAGCCTGAGAAACGCCAAGCATGTTCTTCCCTTTTGGTCTTCTAACTCCAGGTTTTTGCACATTTCATCATAATACTTTACTTTGTCTTCTTGAGTCGCCCTTTGAAATCTTCTGTTCAGCTCTTTTACTTCATCACTTCTTCCACTCACTTTAGCTACTCTGCGTTGAAGAGCAAGTTTCAGAGTCTCTTCTGACATCCATTTTGGTCTTTTCTTTCTTTCCTGTCTAACGACCTTTTGCTTTCTTCACATATGATTTCTTTGATGTCAACTCACAGCTCGTCTTGTCTTCAGTCATTAGTGTTTGATGTGTCAAACCTATTCTTCAGATGGCCTCAAAATTCAGGTGGGATATTCTCAAGGTCGTACTTTGGTTCTTGTGGACTTACTCTAATTTTCTTCAGCTTCAACTTGAACTTGCATATGAGCAATTGATGGTCTGTTCCCCAGTCGGTCCCTGGACTTGTTCTGACTGATGATACTGAGCTTTTCCATCGTCTCTTTCCACAGACGTAGTCTATTTGATTTCTGTGTACAGCAAGGTCCACATATACGGTCGCTGTTTATATTGTTGAGAAAAGGCATTTCCAATGAACAGGTCATTGGTCTTGCAAAATTCTATCATGCGATCTCTGGCGTCGTTTCTATCACCAAGGCCATATTTTCCAACTACTGATGCTTCTTCGTTTCCAACTTTCACATTCCAATCACCAGTAATTATCAATGCATCTTGACTGCATGTTTGATCAATTTCACACTGCAGAAGTTGGTAAAAATCTTCAATTTCTTCATCTTTGGCATTAGTGATTGGTGTGTGAATTTAAGTAACAGTCTATTAACTGGTCTTCCTTGTAGGGTTATGGATATTATCCTATCACTGACAGCACTGTATTTAAGGATAGATCTTGAAACGTTCCTTTTGACGATGAATGTGACGCCATTCCTCTTCAATTTATCATTACCAACATAGCACACCATATGACTGTCTATTCGAAATGGCCAATACCAGTCCGTTTCAGCTCACTATTGCCTAGGATACGATCTTTATGCATTCCATTTCATTTTTTACTATTTCCAATTTTCCTAGAGTCATACTTCATATATTCCACATTCCAATTATTAATGGATGCTTGCAACTGTGTCCTCTCATTTTGGGTCGTGCCACATCAGGAAATGAAGGTCCCAAAAGACTTACTCCATCCATGTCTTTAAGGTCAACTCTACTTTGAGGAGGCGGCTCTTCCCCAGTCATATACTGAGTGCGTTCCAACCTGAGGGGCTCATCTTTTGGCACTATATCAAACAATGCTCCACTGCTTTTCACTGGACAATTTTTTAAAAAGTAGATCACCGGGTCCTTCTTCGTAGTCTGTCTTAGTCTGGAAGCTCCCCTGAAACTTGCCCACCATGGGTGACCCTGCTGGTAATTTGAAATACCAGAAGCATAGTTTCCAGCATCACAGCAACACACAGGCCACCACAGTACAACAAACTGACAGACGAGTGGTGGACTGACACTTTACATATACATACTACTTCTATATAACAGGACTTTTGTTAAAAAGCAGAAAATAATAGAACCCCAATTCTGTACTTTGCAAAAGATATAAATTCAGAAGGTTACAAAGTTTGATGTTTCCCGGCATTCAAAATAAATCTACTATCAAAATTACCTGTGTTTGTGAAAGCTGAATGCTCTGAACCTGTGGAAGCAGGAAGTAAGCATTGGGTAGTGGCTTTGCAGACTCTTCAGTAGAGATTCTGCGAGTGCCAATTCCAGACACCTTCAGAGAAAAAAAGAGAATGACTCTTCTGTTACAGCTTTAAAACACATCTACCATAATGCTAAAGTAACTTTCCAAAGGAAATCTGTATTCATTACTTGGCCTTCAAGATTCTGTTATTCCAACTATTGTAATTATCTCTGTCTCCATATAACACAAAGAATATTGCTGTATTTCAGGTGAATGTTCCTCATTATAGCAAATCTTTTGACAAATAGGTCAACTCTTTTGTTATGTTATTCCACCAGTTTAGTGGAATCCAATAAGAATTAACCACAAAAATGATTTAATCTTAGCACATAAATTACTTGATGCCACATCCTATTAAAATGTCACAGGTACCACTTAAGGTAAAGATTCCTAACTATTTTTGTGAACAAAAGATTCTTCATGCTCTCTTTCTAGTGCCTTGATGTTTGGTGGGCTCCATGGGAACTGGCTCCCAAGCACACAATCAATGCCTCCTGATCAGATATATTCCTGAGCCAAGGAGGAGAGGTAGGTGGAATCACAAGAGGTTGCCTCTATAGCTCCCTCCATGAATGTATGTGAGTGAAAGACCTGAGTTTTGAAAGCCTGCTGTATTTTAAGTGAGTATGATAGATTTCTTTGTTTTGTTCCAATATCCTTCCAAAGATTCACAGTGAGGGTTACAGCTCTGTTCTCTGTACCGAAGACAGCAAACCCCAGCAAGTGAGGTGGAAGAGGGTAACAGCTGGTGAGTTTAACATGACTAAGAGCCTTATATTTTATTGACATAAGCATGCGGCTGACATTTCCAAAAGTCTTTTTAAAAGTATCCAAACCTCTTAGTTAAGCTGACAAACAAATTATGTGAAAAGAGGAAAAGGTTACTTACATGATAGGAAAGGACTCCGTATGAGGAGGTATTAATAAATAAAGAACTTTCAATGCTTCCTTCTTCAGTAGGTAAGAAAATAATTCTGAAGGAAGTTTTCCCCATTGCTGGAATTACCTGGGGCGGGGTGGGGGGAGGGGAGACACCTAATTAGCTATTTGGAATGCTACCCCCTTTTGATAAATTACCTTTCACAGACTTTCTTTTTGGTGATGCTGTTAACAGATTTTTGCATACTCTGCACCCTTGATTTATAAGCATCGTGAGTCCCTCAGAATCCCAAACTGATGACCATCAAACAACCTAAGAGAATATTTAAAAGAACATACCACAGACTTATGGCAAGATGGCTGTCAAGTCCTTTCACTTTAGATAGGAATCATGTGTCTCCCATCTTTCCTTTCCCCTCCTCTTCCTTACTACATGTTCAACAGCCTTTGTCTAACACAGTTCTCTGTCTACTTCAGTACGGAGAATAATCAACGTACAAGCATGTTAAACTTAATAAAAATCAGGAGCAAAGTTTACCTGGACAGACTGGCATAAACAAAATTACATCAGCCCCCCCCCTTACACCATTTCCTTAGTCCCAGTATTAAGAAAAAAAGAAATATACATGTATATACGCCCTGCTGGTGCAGTGGTTAAAGTACTTGGCTGCTAACTGAAAGGTCGGTGGTTCGAACCCACCAGCCACTGTGTGGGAGAAAGATGTGGCAGTCTGCTTCCGTAAAGATTACAGCCTTGGAAACCCTATGAGACAATTTTACTCCGTCCTACAGGGTTACAATGAAACGGAAACAACTCAACAGCAATGGGTTTGGTTTGGGTTATATATATGTACATATACATAAAATGTCAAGCCGACGTAAGTAAGCAATATAAAAAATAAAGTGTATAACACTGCACCACCAGGGCTCCCGTGAGCAATTAGGATCTTCATTAAAAGCTTAAGACCGCTGAAATTTAAACTACAAGAAGAACCAGGATTTTGAGCTGTGTTATGATACAAATTAGCTTTCTAAGGATCCCTCTACCACCTTGTAAGCCCTACATTTAGAAAGGACGAATCCTAACTTTCTTAGTAAGTTGCAAGGTGATGAGATCACAACTATAACTAAATGCTTTAGCACTTGTCTAATTTCAAGACAAATGATATAAAGTTGTCTTTATTCATATTCATTATTCATATTAAATATACATACATTACTACCTAGTTTAGACTCTTTAAACTTTTTTCCCCTTATACATATCAGAGCCACCAAAACTATGAAAATGAACAACTGTAAAAATAAATGCTAAAGCAAACATGCAGAAGGAAGGAGTTTGGGTAGCAGAAAATAGGGAGACATGGGAGCAAAAACTTCAAGCCAAAGAAAGCAAGAACCCCTGGCAGCCTGCCACAGCATAGTTTCCAAGAGTACATCAACACTCACCCTGCAATGAACAGGAGGCACATGAAAATGTCTAGCAGCTGTAAACACTGAATTCACCACAACCTCACTATCCCTACTAGGGTTGTAAGCATAGAGGATCTTTGCTGCTGGATGTCCCAGGAACCTAGGACGGGAAACAAGGAGAAAAGGTGATGTATTGTACAGCTATAAATATAAGTATACATATACATTTACTTCCTTAACCCAGAAAGCTGTTGATATTCATTACAAATTTAAAGGCAACCATTATCGAATCTTGTTAATAATAAAATATTTAATCTACAAGGAATTTTTTTTTTTTTTAAAAGCCCTTTTACAAGCCTTATGCCAACCCACAGTAGCACCCCACTGGTTTTTGTGTTAGAAGAATTCGACTCATCTTGGTCGTTAGGTAAACGCTTACAAAAAACCCATATTGGGAAATAGGCACTTTGCTGATTAGAGTCTTTAATTCAAATGGAAATGTGTTTTTAGATAAGAAACTGTACTCACAGAAAAACTCAACAGGGTAATCAATTTAAAGATGCTTAAATATATATATACACACACACACATACATATATTTTCTGCAGTCTTTGAGATAAACTTTTCACTCACTCTTTGCTAGATCTGAGAGGAGGAAAACTTTAATTGTTGTTGAAGGCCACTCTTGTGAGAAGAATGAAAATCCTGCAGCGCTCTCTAGCAGTGGTTTAAATCGTGAGCTTTTCAGAAAATTCTGATAAAAGTAGTGGCTTCTCCCTCTGCAAACATTCACACACATAAAGCTTTGTGTATAATTCCCAAACTCCCCATGAGCCTCAGAGGAAGGGCACCTGTGCTACAGCAAGCACACAATCTGGTGAAGGTGTAATGTCAATTATCCACACCTACAACGTCCACTCCAGTCAAGAAACTGCAGAGGAGAGGAGCGGGGCTCGGGCCACCTACCTGGAGCTATCTGCAAAGTCCCTTCTAATCATCTATTTCCGATTCCTACTGCCCAACATCAAATTCTCTCTAGTTAAATTATGCTGTAAAAGAAAAGAGTCAGCAAAAATTTCACTGAAGTCATTTCTCCAGTTTTAATACCCTCACTGGCAGGGACCCAAATACACAGTACTCATTAGTATGGCCCAGAAATCAAACTATATATTAAATTCAGCAAAAAAAAAAAAAGGACCCTCATATATATTATGCCCGTATTTCTCTCATTTTATTCTGATTTTAAAAATGTGGGCTTAAGAGAAAATGAAATGCATACTCTTAATGCATGAGACTTCCACAATAATGTATTACCACCATCGTGTCCTCAGGCTTTTTCGTCTAGTTTTTCCTCCTACTTTTAATCATAAGTCTCACCTGAAAATTTAATATGTCCAATGTGCATTTTAAAAAAATAAGACCTTTACAGCCAATTACAAATAAAATATACAACATCTGTGTGATTAAAATCTTTTTTTTTTTCTTTTAAGTGTTCTCAAGTAATAACATTAGAAATTTTTTTTGCACCACCATAAGCCTACAGGGTCACCTCAGAAATCCCTACCCCAGACTACTGGACTCACATTTGCCTTTTCCCTCTCAATTAAATAAAGACTTCTGTGGTTTTAGGCTTTAAGGAAATAACATGAATCAATCAGCAAAATTATTGATACTTATCCTCCAAGCTTTATATTCCATTCACATAATTGGAATACAAGATTTTTGGTTTCAGAGGATACAGACATCCTCCCAACAGGAAACACACCCAGAAAGTTAAGGCTGTGAAACTGCAATCTGCCAAGCCCAGACACTGCATCCACCAGCAGCCTCGCCAGACCTAGCATAGAATGCTGGCTGACACCCACTCACCCCTGTGCTATTTTTATCCTATTTTTTTAAATCTATTTTTAAAAGTGTTATGGGGAGACGAATTTCCTGCACTAGTGACAACTGGAAGACATTCTATTAATTTAATACCACTAAAAGAATGATTAAAATCTCTTATGAATGATTAGCACTTTTAATCTTGGGACACACAGGATATTAACCCTTAAAATAAGCCTTGCGAAGGAGGCAGAGGGCAATGGAATAACATGATCCTGAGTTTGCATCCTAGAGGGAAACCAAAGCTATGAAAAAGAATGGGGCTTGCCCAAGGTCAATGTCAAAATAAACACTAACAGCAAAGGCTGAATTCAGGGCAGAGAAGAAATCGGGCAAACTCTCAGGCTAAAGTCTTCATCTAATATGCCCATAAATTATGTCATTTGTTAGAGGTAATGTAAAACTTGACTAATTCAAAATATGTGCTAATGTAGATTATACAGAGTTTGTGCTTACTGAGTTTTTTTAAACTTCAAAATAATTTATTCCCATAATCATATCCTGGATCTCAAGAAAAATAGCATGCTGAGTACTGGCTTAGAAATCAGAAGGTTTATTCAGCTACTTCCAGTGAAATGACCTTGGGAAAACCACATTACTTCTCAGTAACAAATGTATAAATATTCTCATAACATACAAGTATTTGAAAGTGATTTATATTCTCTCTCTCCCTCACACACACACAATACCTGCCTTAAGTATCTTTCCAGAATTGATATATAAGGCTCAAATGACAAGACAACTTTGACAAATGACTTTGAGAACTGTAGAGCTACATAAACGCAGCTGAATCATTAAAAGGAAGTTCAAATCAAAGACTTTAAACATTCTTTCAACATGCTTCCAGCTATCAGCATCAGTAACTGATGTATGTAGCTAATTAACTTATATAGCTAATACATACACACACCCATGCGTGCTGATTATAGGACTGTTATGTCATAGAAGAGTAAATACATCACAGACATCCAGGATCCTATGAACTGAAATTGTTATCCCAATCTAACTGTATTTACTACTATTCATCTTATTACATCTACCAATCTATAATTTATACTCTTTAAAATAGGTCCTGCATTAAAACTTCTTTGTACAATAAAGACGTTTCACAAAAGCCAAGTGCTCTCCCATAATCTGAAATCAGTGAGGTTTCATTATAAATTCAATTTCTATTAAATTTCTTTACCTAAGAGTAAAAATGTAAAAATTCAAAAACGAAAGAGCAGCCGCCTAGAATCTTGTAAAGTTAGCAAATTCACTTCACAATTTTCTCTAGTATCCCCTTTAAAAGCTCAACAAGGTACTCTTCAAGGTACTCTTAAACTGAGCTTTCACTCTCCTTGACTGCAGCTCCAAACTTCTGACCATCAGAAGAGAATCCAGACCAATAAAGGCGTGCATGCCAGAAGGCTACCACTAATCAACCCCAGATACTCTCCTACCACTGTGGTTATTTCATTCACATTGCTTTTCTTCTAGCTCAAAAAAGCTCTTAGTAAAATATTAGTGATGCATCAGGCCACTAAAACAAGCAGAGCTTTACACCTGAAACAATCCTGGAAACAATACTAATTTGATATTATATCTTTTCAGTGCTGCAAAATTCTGCATTCAGGGAGTTGAGCACTTCTAAGTCTCAAACTTTATGACATCCAACAAGAGTTGGTAAGTTCCCCACCCACCCTCCAGGGCTTCACCCTTTTCGCTTTCTCCAACACCCAGATCACATCCCCTTCATTTCACTGTACATAATGGACTGCAAGTAATTCCTGGCTTGTACTCTATCTTCCCCTACTTGACCTGAGCTCCCTCAAGGCAAGGACAATGTCTTAATCATAACAATAACTAATGTTCATATACTGTAATTTGGAATCCCCAAGGCATAGCAAGCAGTATAAACAAGTGAATAAACAAAGCTAGCTTAAAAGAATTCAGAAATCATCGAGTTTTTCATTACAAAATAACCTCATTTGTTTAAAAAAAAAGAATAATACTGACTTCGTAGTTTTTAAATTCCCATTACTATAAATATTACAAAGTATATTCATTAAAAACTGAAGGGGAGGCTGAAAATAACTCTTACACCTTACTTTTCATGAAAATCTTCCTTTTAACCAGTCCTAGGATCAACATTCCTTGATATTATTATTTACTTAAAATGTATTTGTTGTGGTGGTAGTGTGCCTTCGAGTCTATTCCAACTCATAGTGACTTTACAGGGCAAAGTAAGACTGCCCCATATGGTTTCCCCGGCTGAAATCTTTACAGGAGCAGGTCACCAAATCTTTTCTCCCCCAGAGCCGCTGGTGGACTCAAATCACCAAACCTTCTTTCAGTTAGCATCGGAGCACTTAACCACTGCACCAGCAGGGCTCCTTTAAAATGTATTTAACGTTGTACATATACATAAAAGGTATCTTGAAAGTCAGTAATAAAAACAGAATGAGTATTAAGAATTATAAAGAAAAGATACTTACTGAATTCCAAAATCTAGAACTGATGGCTGAAAATGCAAGCCCCTTTCAGTAAATAGCTTGTCCGAGAAACTAAAAAAAGAAAAGAAAACAGGGATTGGCTTTTGCTGTAGTTTTAAAATTTGGATATTGAGTTAAGACAATACATGGCTCTCACTCATGAGATGCAATCTTACTCCTTTACAGATGAGTTTGAACTAGCTTTTAAATGCTTAAATTGAATTATTAGAAGTCTAACGTAACTTCAGAGTTGCAAGATTTTAAAACCCTCTTAGATTACAGTTAGCATAACTTCATAACAAATGTACAGATTCTGTAAGCATTTAAACAGAAATAGGATGATTTAATCTTCAACAGGCTTCATTTCTGAATGATTTCAGAGAATGACAATTTTCATAAAATCTAAATCAAGAAAAGACACACAGGACTCGGATAGACATGGTTGTGGCAGCATGCTTGTCCGTTTTCCCATTCTTGCCTATTCTGTAATATTCTTTGGATTCGGACAGACATGGTTGTAGCAGCATGCTTGTGCGTTTTCCGATTCTTGCCTATTCTGTAATATTCTTTGGACTCGGGCAGACATGGCTCTAGCAGCATGCTTGTCCGCTTCCCACTTCTGCCCTTTTGCATATATGCCGAATAAAACTTTCTTTTTGCTTTACAAAACTTTGTGACGTTTTTCCCCTACAACAGTTAATGGCGTAATCGTCAAGGATCTGAAGCTACGAATTCAGTCAACTTCGAAGAGACCTGGACTGCGGAGCAGAAGCTGGGAAAGAAAGGTCCTATCTTCTGGACCCACATGTTCCCACTCCATGTCCCTTCGACATTGACGGGGTGAGTGGTCTCGGAAAACGAACCTTTGCTTATTCTTTGTTGTTCTCTTTCTCATGTTTTCTTAAGTTTTGTTTGGCATATTTGTTTGAAAAACAAGTTGATTGATTAAGGAGAATCTTTCTTAGATTTTTGCTTGATCATTTGGTTAAGAGAGACATTTAGTAACTCTTTAAGTGAACTGCAGTTTAGGCCTGGATTTGGGCATTTGAAGAGGTAATTCTATTTTCAAAGAGCTGTGGTCACTATCAGCTGCAAAATTTGGACTTTTTTGTGGCTCAGAAAAAATCTGGAAAAGTGTTCTGTTTTGCCAAATTCGCAGGGAGAGGTGGCAGGTCTTGCCTGTTTTGCCAAATTCTCAGACGGAGGTAGCAGCTCCTGACCTGTGTTTTGATATTTAAGAGAGAAGTGGTAGTTCTGTACCTGTTTTTTCCATTGAATTGAGTCAATCTTACCAAAAATTGCTATATACACTTTTAGAAACTAGGATCCCTATATCCTTGTTTTCTGTGGTATTATCTGGTGAGTTTATGTGGTCTTTCTGTCTCCTTTTGTTCTAAGAGCTTGCTTCTGGTCTACAGCATTGTGTCTTAAGTTTGTCTTGTATTAGATTGGTGGCTATGGCTAAGAATTGCTGTTTTTTGTAAGGCTAGTCATAAAACCTCAGTTCCTTCTTCATCCAGAAAAAACAGCGTCTTGTGTCTGTCTTATAATTTAGAATTTTAATAGCTACTTGGAGAAACTTTGATATAAATTGGTCTATTTGAAAGGTACACTAAGATCTTTATGTTTTATATTATGTCAGTCTTAAAAGTGAAACCTTTTTAAGTAACTTAAGCTAGATATTATACGAAATGTGTTTTATTTAAGGAAAAAGGATAGTTTTGTCTTAAAGTACAAGTTCCAGAACAGTAAAAAAGAAAGAAATTAGCTATCTTTTGTCTTTCAAAATGCCTCCATCAATTTAAACGTATGTAAATGTCTTCCAAGAGTCAAGAGAGTGAGGGCGGGGCACGATCTGGCCTCCTCACCTCCCAGTCTCCAAGATCCAGTAGCTCCAGGGACGCTTTTGAAAGACCCCTTTCCAGCTAGGTGGAGACTCTTTTAAGACAAAAGATAAGAAAAATTGCAGCTTTGCTATAGTTATCAGAAATTGGGTAGATCCTAATCGTAGAACTGTAAACAAGTTCTCTCTATTATAGGGGAACTTTAAGAAGTAAAAAAAAATAGAAATCACAATGAGACACATCTGAAGTGGCCTGGAAAAATGTTTCCAGCAGTAGCCAAACACTTAAGGTTACATCCATATCAATGAATTGGTCAAGTGAGCAAAGACTATGATTTCCAAAGCCAGTTGATAAAATCTTTAAGGGCTAAAATTAGATTGGGAAAAATACCAGAAGTAGTAATTTAAGGGCTAAAATTAGATTGGGAAAAATACCAGAAGTAGTAAAAGTTGAATGAAATCTTAGAATGTTTAAATAGACTTTTCTTTCAACAACAGTTACGTTTTATGATATATAGGCTTAAAATAATTTCAACATTTTGGGTAATTTATTGATGTTATTAAGTTAATAGATGCTTGTCATACTTTAAGTTTATATACTTTTGCTTTTTATGCCACAAGAGAAAGGACAGACAAATATATATATTTTAAGTCTGCTAATGAGTGTTTGCCATTTAAAGGGGTGCACTGTAAGAGATATACAACAAAAGCAACCTTTAAGAGGTTTACTGAAAAATTTATTTGATATGGTCAAGTTTCATCTGTCTGACTAAAGTTTAATCACTTAATTTATGAGATTTTTAGGAGTTTTAATGTTAAATAGATATAAAACAAAGAATTGGGTTTCTCGCAGTTAAAATAACAAAATTTTCTTTAATTTCTGAGTTAAAGGGTTAATTTATTCTTTGTGTAATCTGCCTGGAAAACAAAGGTTTGGCCTCTCATTAGAATAAGATTCCTGAGTCTGAATACTAAGCCTCATGGCTTCTAGAAAAGAAAGCTAAGGGTTTT